ATGTACATCAGTAAAATAAATATGCAAGGTGAATAGTATTATCCTTGTTTCACCAAAAGAATTTAAGGAAAAATTAAATATCTTGCAAAACTCAAGCTTCAATATAACCACTGTTGAGGTAGAAATATATAACAAGGGCTGGGCACTGTGGCTCACACCTGTAATCCCAGCACTTTGGGAGGCCAAGGCAGGCAGATCATCTGAGGTCAGGAATTTGAGACCAGACTGGCCAACATGGTGAAACCCCATATATACTAAAAATAGAAAAATTAGCTGGGCATGGTGGCAGATGCCTGTAACCACAGCTACTAGGGAGGCTGAGACAGGAGAATCACTTGAACCTGAAAGACAGAAGTTGCAGTGAGCCGAGATCGTGCAACTGCACTCCAGTGTGGGCAGCAAGAGTGAAACTCTGTCTCAAAAAAAGAGAAAAAATATATCACAAGTAACAGATCCACAAGTTCACTTGAGTATGTAAGTGCTAAAAGAATGGGGAGAGGAGAGTTGGGTAAAGGATGGTATTCATAAAACCAAAGGTTGCTGAAGCAGATAAGTTGCCCAGGTTCTTTTTAAAAGGCGAAAACATAACATTTCTATAAAAATCCTGCACTAATATTTTGTTACACTTCAAAGGTTGGTCTAAATTAGTGTCTATTTGTGCTTTCTAACAAGCCAATTCTTCTTAATGATAGACAATATTATATACTGTCTTTGATACCATACACATCAAAACTCCAAGTTAATTAAGAATCTATGATTATATAATCACTTTCAAGGAAACTTTGATGTCAAAGAGTGACTCTCTGTTAACAAGGAATTAATGTGTTATGACCAGAGTTCACAGGACTCAGCCACTGCAAAACATAAAGGCCACCTTGTATGGCATAGGTACTAACACTCCCAGGTTCCTGCCTTTCACCAAATTTATAGACTGGCCACAACAAATCACTGACCAAATTTTCCATCACTATACTTCTGCCATACTGAGAGTGGATCTAGGCAACCCAAGTAGGAAATTGAACAATAACCTGGTAAATAGGACAACTAATTTGGAAAATTTAAGCCAAAACTACTTGTTTGGCTGGGCATGGTGGATCACACCTGTAATCCCAGCACTTTGGGAGGCCAAGGCAGACAGATCACAAGGTTAAGAGATCGATACCATCCTGGCCAACATGGTGAAACCCCATCTCTGCCAAAAATACAAAAATTAGCTGAGTGTGGTGGTATGCGCCTGTAGTCCCAGCTACTGGGGAGGCTGAGGCAGGAGAATCACTTGAACCCGGGAGGTGTAGGTTGCAGTGAGCCAAGTTCATGCCACTGCACCCCAGCCTGGAGACAGAGCAAGACTCCATCTCAAAACAAAACAAAACCAAAAAACCTACTTTTCACAAGCAGGAATGATGTGGGGCTTCAACTGATTTCTTATGTCAGTTATATGCACCCAGCTTTAGTTCCTTCGAAGCGTTCAATTTTTTGAAGGCATGTGCAATATTAAATAAAGGCCCTTGCCTTGAAAATAAGTTTCTGACATGAAAAACAAAACAGCTTAATAAACAATTGAAGCTATTTTTTTTTTTTTTTTTTTTTGAGATGGAGTTTCGCTCTTGTTATCCAGGCTGGAGCGCAATGGCGCGATCTCGGCTCACCGCAACCTACGCCTCCTGGGATCAGGCAATTCTCCTGCCTCAGCCTCCTGAGTAGCTGGGATTACAGGCAGGTGCCACCATGCCCAGCTAATTTTTTGTATTTTTAGTAGAGACGGGGTTTCACCATGTTGACCAGGATGGTCTCGATCTCTTGACCTCGTGATCCGCCCGCCTCGGCCTCCCAAAGTGCTGGGATTACAAGCGTGAGCCACCGCGCCTGGTCAATTGAAGCTATTTTTAAAGGCCAAAATTGTTTCTTGCTTGAAAGGGCAGCAACCCAAAATTAAGTATAAAACTTTTGGAATCTTTACTCAGCTTGTCCAACCACTAGTCTACTACCCAAATTTCAAAAGATTTAGCTTATCTGTCTTCATAGGGAATAGCATTTGATATTACTGGGTTCATGTCATTCAGACATTTATGTCCTAAGCAAATCAAAGATCTAGTTATGCACATTCATCATTACCTGCTTCTGTGTGTCACCCCTGGGCTTCAGCAGGATTCAGCCACGGAAGAGTATTCCATTGTCTCTAGTTTACCTCTATAGTTTTCATTTCTAAGATGAAAAGGTTGATCTAAGTTTCCTTTTAGATTTTTTTCGATACTTACTGTTGGCTAATTTGCAGCCTGAGTTTGACTACAAAGACCATATGTAGCCAGAATAATAAATCCTAGCAAGCAAAACAGATATAGGGCAAGTTATTTTGGTGCACGACTTTAAAGGCTGGATGGTCGTCTATTTATTAGATTGGAATTTCTGTCATTGAATTTTATGGCCCACCAGAAACTACCAAACCTGCTTCCAAGTGGAATAAAGTGTGATTTAGGTGAAGGTGGTAATGAATGCAGACTTCATGACCCAAGGTGATAGTTCTTAAATAGCTTCATTCCTGCTCTGGCTCTAGTAACTGTAACCATATTTAACATGGCCCAGCTTAACCTTGGTCATATCCACACAGAGAGCTTTTTTGTGCTTTTGAGACAAAGTCTTGCTCTGTCAACCAGGCTAGAGTACAATAGTGCAATTATCACTCACTGCAGCATAGTGAGACCCTGTTTCTAAAAAAAATAATTAAATTAAATTAACCAAGTATGGTGGTGCTTGCCTGTAGTCCTGGCTACTTGGGAGGCTGAAACAAGAGGATCGCTTGAGCCCAGGAGGTCAAGGCTGGCAGTGAGCTGTGACTGTGCCACTGCACTGCAGCCTGGGCGACAGAGCAAGACCCTGTCTGTAAAAACGAAACAAAAGAGCAAGAACTATCTTGTTATTTCTGTCCCACAGACTTACGTCCTCACACTCACCAGGCATGTTCACTCAATGGTCTTATATAAACAAAAATCCCAACAAAAACATATTTTAACTGCTTTTACTTCTTTTCTAATTTCTGAAATAACTATTTACATGTTCTGTACATTGTTTCCTATTCACTAACACCACCAAATCTCTAAATATGACCTTATGAAGAAATAGTAAGTAAATTTAAAGATTTTCCACATCCTAAATTTTATTTCACATGTATAATTGTGAACTTCCTTTGTTCCAAATATGAACTTAAGCAAGTGACATTCACCTCCAGTTCTCAAGAAAATACCTTTGCTTGGATGTTTAAAGTCTGAATGTCATCTACCAATAAGATTTGAATCCCCATTATTTAATTTTCTCACATGATTCTTGCTCTCACCAGCTGCTAATTATCTCATCTGTGCGTGCCCTTTTGCTTTCAGTAAACTGAGGATTCCTCAAGGGCAGTAGCACATTTTAATCCTATAGACACACAGTGACCAGCATACTAAATGTTTATTGATGATTTGCTACACCTTATAAACTATGCTGATCTAAAATTAACTTCAAAAGAATAATGGTAATTACATCACCTCAGTGATTGCAACCCACACCTTCTATTCCAAATAGAATGTTGTAAAGCTTTTCTCTAGTTTCTCTGGAAAAAATATAAAAGAACAAAAAGATAAGGACAAAAATTAGAAAATAATACACTGTACTATATGACATTCATATGCCATTACTAAAATCACCCAGTGTGACACTACTAGTAAAAGTGCCAAAATATAAGGTGATATTTTGCAAAACCAAGTTCATTTTTAGTTCACTAAAATATATATTACCTGCCCAAATACACACATAAAGAATTCATTCTGATATACCATGTGATATACTCCTCTACAAAAGTATTCCACCAGGTACCATTACTACTGGAATTAGGGCAGAAAAGATCATCTCAGTATTTTAGCCAAGATTTGGAGAGTCAGAATCCATTTCAACCGGAAAGAAACAAAGAAATTATTTTTTTAAAACCCAGTAGGTCTATGATAAGCGGAATAATGGCCCCCGCCCCTCGCCCAATACTCGATAATAATATCATGATAATCACACTGGAAGAATTACCATACAATTCATATCTAGAAGATAGTCAATGTAAAAGAAGAGAAGAAGTCGGGGAGGGAAGGAAGGTGGCTGTGGGTGAATCTAATTCAGCAAGTTCACACAAATATTGGAGTTTCTCAAAATTCAAGGCTTGTGAAGATTTTGTGGAAATGAGACTATTGTGAGGAGAAATGTTATGAAGACCAGTCATTCAAATTTTTAAAAATAAAGAAAAAATTGTTCTTAATGTTGCCAGGAATGAATTGAAAAAAGTCTACAGACAGACAGCCTCACTCAATAGATCTAAGCATTGCACATATCAGACTGAAATCTCTTTGTGGGCATGTATCAAATTTTATTCATTTTTTCTATATTTATGACCCAGGAGAGTACCTAGCATAAAGTATTTTAATAAGTATTTGATACATAAATAAATATAGGTTCTAGAGAAGTAAGCTCTAGAGTAGAAGATAGTACTTCAAAATTAAAGATGATTCATTCTTTCAGAAAATATATGTTGAGTGATGATTTTGTACCAGATGATAGAGTAATAAGAAAAATACTGTTCCTGCTGTCATGAAGCATCAAAAATTCCTCAGCCCTCAAGTACCCTCCAGTCATTAAGCATCTTGGAACATCTCTACTCCAGAAGGTACAGCTTTAATTTCATAAATTACTATTTCATTGTATCAAGTTTGTACATTCTCAAGACCAAATTATTTGAGGCCAGAATTTTCTTATTTCTCACCTATGCTGATGAAGCTATTTTTAATGACATTTTTCAAACTCAATTAAAAATGAATAAATAGGCCAGGCATGGTGGTGCACGCCTGGAATCCCAGCATTGGGAGGCTGAGGCAGGTGGATTACCTGAGACCAGCCTGGCCAACATGGCAAAAACCTGTCTCTACTAAAGTACAAAAATTAGCCAGGTGTGGTGGTGGGCACCTGTAATCCCAGCTACTCACGAGGCTGAGGTAGGAGAATTGCTTGAACCCGGGAGGTGGAGGTTGCAGTGAGCCAAGACTGCATCACTGTACTCCAGCCTGGGTGACAAGAGCAAGACTCTGTCTCTAAATAAATAAATAAATAAATCCTCCAGTCTGAAAGCAATTTATCCTCGAAGGGAATCCCCTGCCTCTAGATCCAGAGTTTCCATCACTCCCAAGTAGCTGAGACAAGTTAAGAAAATCCAAGCAATACAGTGAGCATAGGTATACCAAGTGCAAAGAGAAAATGGAAAGGACTTCAAATTAATGAAAGAAGTGTGATTGAATTTTATTAAGCATCATGGGTGGGAATAACTGAGCAAGAGCACATATCTTCCTAGGCCTCTAATAGGACAGGGATCTTGTGACATTCACAGGGTACAGCGAGCAGTGCTGAAAAAGGTGCATGCTCAACAAAGGAATGAATGCCTCATGATCAGTGCCTGAGCCAAATTTTTCTTCCCAGAAATAAATATCTTTCCTGATTTAATAAATAGCATACCCAATGTAGCCCTAGAGACACACAGGACTTTAATCTTCTGGTTCTAATGATGGAAGAGGCAAGCAGATATGAGGACTTGGTTAATAGTCTCTTGAGTCATCATTTCTTTAGTTTATCAACTTTGCCCGGGAAGCACTCACTGGGCAGTACACATGGCTGGGAGTTCTGATCTTCCCCGCCTGTGGCCAATGTAAGCAAGGAGCCAAGCAGGGTGTTGCAACCCTGTATGAATTTAGAAGGAAGGCAAAAGGGGAATTGTTCCTTTTAGTGTCTACTGACTTTGCCTAGACCAAATTTAAGAGCCCATTTTTTAAAATTAGAAAAAGTCTTGAGTGTCAGCCTCAGGAAAATATATGAAGTGGACAAAATAGTTTCGATCCTCCCAGGATCTCTTCTTGGCTTCCTCCCCTGCCCCGGTCCCTCACCCAGCTCAGAGGCTGTCCCTGCATCACGCTTCTTGTGTCAAATCTTGCTGCTAAGGGCTTCCTCTCATTTGAAGTACAGGCTCCATGAATCCCTAGCTGACTAGAAAACATTCTGATCAGCAATTGCGCCATAATTGTTAGCAGCCTAAAGTGTTCCTCCTAAGGAATCCTGTCCTTTAACATGGAGTGAATGGAGACCTTCCCTTAGCCTCAAGAAATATAATTGAGCACCTATGATTCTCACCAAAAAGGCTTCTCAACCGGCAGAAGTCTTATTGTAAGTTTGATAATGGCCACCCCTCTGGAAATCCTGTCGACGCAAACGTGATATTCCCAGGAGTCAGACAAACAGCATCATAGCATGCAGAGATCAGTCATGTACTAGGAGGTTCTCTCTATTGACTTGCAAATGAGCAAGGTGTCAGAGGAAGGAGAAACTATCATGCAATGTGCTGATCCAGAGGGTTTTTTTTCTGCAAATCAGGCTCAATTTTCGAAGACCCAACAAACATCCCAAAGGTGGTTTATGCTCCTGTAAAGTTAATATTTCCCTGCTTGCAGAGATGTTCTTCTTTGCCCTTGGAAAGCACTCTAGTAGAATTTCACTGTATTATGAACAGCTCCACCAACAGCATATTTTTAGTCTCCTTTAGTGATTTCCATATATCTCTATACCAGTATATCTCTGAACTGCACATAATCTGTTAAATAACCACCAAATTATTTAACAGACTACATGCAGTTTTTTAAACAAGTGACACTAACTAGTTTTTTTAATGAAAACTGTAAATGTTATTGCTACACACAATATTATGCTGATCCAAGACATACCAGTTAATAGCAAATTTAATTTGGGAAATGATTTCTATGCTATAAACGGTATCATCTTCCTTGTAGTCTTTAGTGTAACAATGGCTTCTGTGACCTGAGGCTGACTGCCCAAGCTCTGTACAGAAGTTCATTAATCAGATGGGGTTATTTAGGTGGATGGTTTGTCGATATGTCTAAAGTGGCATATACAGCAATCATTTTTATGACGACAAACACTAGAGAGGCTATTTTAAAATCACAACTGGGGAAAGATAAAAACATGGACTGCAATCATTGTAGCTGTTGTCTGTCCTTTTAGACCTCTTCTTTTGTTGGTTGCTACTAGCAACAAGAAAATTAAGCTAAAGAAATTTTAATCAAATAGATACTACTCTGTACCTCACTGATCATGTATTCTGTTGCATTGAAAAGCAGGGGAATTCACTTGATATCAATAACCTGAAATACAAATTCTTTTGGAAGGAACTATTAAAAATCTTAAAACAACAATCATCAATCACAAAGATTAGGTTGTTGGAGACATGAAAAATCACCTCCATGGAGCTGATGAGCATCTTTCTGCTCTGCAGCATGCGGAACTGTGAGATTCACTTTTCTGCTTCTTAATACACAGGAGCAGAAATGAAATTAAATACTCAGTACTCATCTGAGAAATTGATCTGAGCCATCACGTTGCTGATCAGGATCCTGGAGGCTTTGATCATTTGAACATAGGGGAAATAAAAGGAGCTTTGAAAAAAAATCTGAATAAATAAATCTTAACCCCACAATAATGAAATACTGTAACTGAGGCTACTCTTAACTGAGCATTTACTACGCCAGGCATTGTGCTAGATGTTTATATATCTTAACTCACTGAATCCTCATGTGTCTGCAGATAGAAGAGCTTTTCTTTTTGCCTTCATAGGGGAGCAGAAACTTGAAGAGGTTAAGTAATTTGCCTAAAGTCAGACCACCAAAAAATGGCAAGAGAGTGTGAGACCTGCTTTTGCACAACTTTAAAGACCTTGCTATTACTTTAAATGTCAAACCCAGCAATTACTTTTGCACCACCCTAATATTTTTCACTCTGCCAGACTGGTTCCCTGAAAACACAGAAAACTATCAATCATTCACAGTATCTTATATAATAGGGTGAAGGAGGGCCTCCTATTTTCCAGGCACTTTACATATATTATCTCCTCGAAAGCACACTGTGACCTTGTGAAGGAGGGATTTAGAATATTGATGTCCAAACCCATTAAGGAACTTCATGAATATTACAGAAATATGAGGTGACAGAGCTGGCACTGGAAACCAGATCTGTCTGACTCAAACACATGTCCTTTATACTCCCTTATCCCACCTCCCACAAAGTAGAGCCTTTAGATAATGGTGATATTGATGGATTGAACAAAGATTATCTCAGATGAGCCTTTGTTTTTGAATGCGGCTAGGTTTCAAAGGATAATATTTGACCTATGACATAGGCAAATCCATATAACATCACAAATTGCTATAAAACAAAATTATCTCTTCCAGTTTTTATTGGAAACCACAAATCTCCATTAATTTTTAAAAAAATATATTTGGCTTTTTATTTATTTTTTTAAATATATATTTTATTGCACTTTAGGTTCTGGGGTACATGTGCAGAACATGCAGGATTGTTGCATAAGTACATACATGGCTATATGGTTTGCTGCCTCCATCCCCGTGTCACCTATATCTGGCATTTCTCTCCGTGTTATCTCTCCCCAACCTCCCTACCCACCGCTGTCCTTCCTCTATTCCCCCACAACAGATCCCAGTATGTGATGGTCCCCTCCCTGTGCCCATGTGTTCTCATTGTTCAACACCCACCTATGACTGAGAACATGCAGTATTTGATTTTCTGTTCTTTGTGTCAGCTTGCTGAGAATGATGGTTTCCAGATTCATCCATGTCCCTAAAAAGGACATGAACTCATCATTTTTTATGGCTGCATAGTATTCCATGCTGTATATGTACCATATTTTCCTCGTCCAGCCTACCATTGATGGGCATTTGGGTTGGTTCCAGGTCTTTGCTATTGTAAACAGTGCTGCAATAAACATACATGTGCATATGTCTTTATAATAGAATGATTTATAATCCTTTGGATATATACCCAGTAATGCAATTGCTGGGTCAAATGGAATTTCTATTTCTAGGTCCTTAATGAATCATCACACTGTCTTGAACAATGGTTGAACTAATTTACACTCCCATCAACAGTATAAAAGTGTTCCTATTTCTCCACATCCTCCTCAGCATTTATTGTCTCCAGATTTTTTAATGATTGCCATTCTAATTGGCATGAGATGGTATCTCAGTGTAGTCTTAATTTGCATTTCTCTAATGACCAGTGATGATGAGCATTTTGTCATATGTTTATTGGCCTCATATATGTCTTCTTTTGAAAAGTGTCCATGTCTTTCATCCACTTTTGAATGGGTTTGTTTGGTTGTTTCTTGTAAATCTGTTTTAGTTCTTTGTAGATTCTGAATATTAGCCCTTGTCAGATGGGAAGATTGCAAAAAATTTTTCCCATTCTGTTGGTTGTAGGTTCACTCTAGTGACTGTTTCTTTTGCTGTGCAGAAGCTGTGGAGTTTAATTAGATCCCATTTGTCTCTTTTGGCTTTCATTGTCAATGCTTTTGGTGCTTCAGTCATGAAGTCCTTGCCTATGTGTATGTCCTGAATGGTTTTGCCTAGGTTTCCTTCTAGGGTTTTAATGGTGTTAGGTCTTCCGTTTAAGGCTTTAATCCATATGGAGTTAATTTTAGTGTACATTGTCAGGAAGGAATCCAGTTTCTGCTTTCTGCACATGGCTAGCCAGTTTTCCCAACACCATTTATTAAACAGGGAATCCTTTCCCTATTGCTTGTTTTTGTCAGGTTTCTCAAAGATCAGATGGTTGCAGATGTGTGGCATTGCCTCCAAGGCCTCTGTTCTGTTCCATTGGTCTATATCCCTGTATTGGTACCAGTACCATGCTGCTTTGATTACTGTAGCCTTGTAGTATAGTTTGAAGTCAGGTAGCATGATGCCTCCAGCTTTGTTCTTTTTGCTTAGAATTGACTTGGCTATGTGGGCTCTCTTTTTGTTCCATATGAAGTTTAAGGTGGTTTTTTCCAGTTCTGTGAAGAGGGTCATAGGTAGCTTGATGGGGATAGTGCTGAATTTATAAATTACTTTGGGCAGTATGGACATTTTCACGATATTGATTCTTCCCAACCATGGGCATGGAATGTTTTTCCATCTGTTTGTGTCCTCTCTAATTTCCTTGAGTAGTGGTTTGTAGTTCTCCTTGAAGAGAA